TCAAAAATAAATAAACATTGGGGCGCCTGGGTGGCTCAGTGGGTTAAGTGGCTTACTTCAGCTCAGGTCATGATCTCTCAGTTTGTGAATTCGAGCCCCGCGTCGGGCTCTGTGCTGACAGCTCAGAGCCTGGAGCCTGCTTCGGATTCTGTGTCTCCCTCTCTCTCTGCTCTTCCCCTGCTTGCGCTCTCTGTCTCTCTCTCAAGAATAAAACATTAACAAAATTAAATAAACAAACATTAAAAATAAAATCTTTGGGATGAGCACTGGTGTCATGTGTAAGAGATGAATCACTGAGTTCTACTCCTGAAGCCAAGACTACACTGTATTTTAACTAACTTGAATTAAAATAAATAAAATAAAGTCTTAAAAAAAAAAAGAGAGAGAGGTCTTGGACTCAGAGAAGCAACTTGTTAGTATGGAGCTAGAATTTGAACCTAATTCTTTGAACCCAACCCTCTTTCTACTTGGTCATGCAGAATAGGCATAGAAATAGGAATACGTACATCATGTTAGGCCAGAAAAATTAATAGCCTGTGTATGGATAGTATAAGTAAACAGGAAAACTTGGGTTGGTGAGAAGGATTTCATAGAATTTCCATTTTAGTATTCTACCATAAAAATAGAAGGCTTGGGGTCGCCTGGGTGGCTCAGTCAGGTAAGCGTCTAGCTCTTGATTTTGGCTCAGGTCGTGGTCTCATGGTTTGTGGGATCGAGCCCCATGTTGGGCTTCTGTGCTGACAGTGCAGAGCCTGCTTGGGATTCTCTCTCTCCTTTCTCTCTGCCCCTCCCCTGCTCACACACATTCTCTCTCTCTCTCTCTCTCTCTCTCTCTCTCATTCTCTCTCCCCCCAAAATGAATAAATAGACATTAACAAAAAATAGAAGGCTTGGAAGTCCATAACTGGTTTGTGAATACACAGTGAAATAGTCTGTTACCAAAAATGCCCTACTGGAAGGAGCGAAGAACAAGTATGAGTTGATTAGATCTGTTAATTTACATGCTTATTGAAACTCTTTGTCCCTTCAAATCTTTCCCCCAGAGAGACCCTTCGAGAAGTGCTCCATTTACTGAGAAGCACAGGGAACACCCAAGTGGAGTACATCATCCGGATCATGAAGAAATGGGCCAAAGAAAACAGAGTGCCTATCTAAAATAGCTCCAGAGTCCTGGGGAACTGGTCACTGCTTTGCTGTAAAATTGGAAACTGAGGAGAATTCCTCAAGTTTAATGTAAGATGCAGGGCTCTATTTTTTGACATTTCCTTCCTTGCTCTTTGAGCCTCAAGATCAGTGACTTGACTCGCTTAGACCTAGCCTCCTGGCTGAACTAAGCACCATAGTCCGTGCTCCAGCCCCTGTGTGATCCGACTAGCAATAAGACTTTGGATTTGTCTGGTGCCTTTCTTCCAAAAATACTCAGAGAACTCTTATGTAATAACTGCTTTAAGGAGAATGGCATAATTTTTTTTTAATGTTAGCACTCCATGGCATTTTCCCATCGCTCCAATAACAAATGCCTTTAATGCCCAAGAGCCACCGTCATTCTGTCCTCTTCATTTTAGTCATCTGTACATCATCCCATGTTACTGGGGCATTCCATAAAGAATTTTGTAATGCATTTCTGAGTCTTAGGAGAGCAGAGGTTAGAAATAGCAACATGATTCTAAGAGTGGCAGTAAGATCCTTTATCAAACTGTCCAGTCATTAATAGATAATGGACTTCGGGGATTACTCTTTCAGTAGTTTTGATGATAAATAACATGTTATTTATCATCAAAGAAACAGGAGTATTACAGCTGTTTAAAAGGTGCATACTATGAAAAAAATCTGTATGGTACATTTCAAGGTATTCAGGAAATAGTATGGAAATCTCATTAGTCACTGCTCCATTATATTTTAGGGAACAAAACAGGTTAAGGATCTTTTTCATATGTTTTGGTGAATAGACTTCAGTTTTGAATGTAGGGCTACAAAGGCTATATGTATGCAAAGGCTATATGTATGCAGTGGCTATATGTATGCATATTTATTAATATGATGATAATAAACATGGGTTGTGCAGAGCCCTTTGAGGGACTTCCTAATAGCTGGACTCTATCCTAAGTCCTATTCCAGCCCCAGGTTTCTGAGCTCTTGCAACGTAAACCTATCACTGAGCACTTTTAGACTCACAAATGATTTTCAGAAAATAGACATACATGTTTTGATGTAGCAGATTACCTTTGTTTCCACACCATGTATTTTGTTTCTGTTAGCTTAAGGTACCCAGCGTTACAGGTGTAGAAAGTGCAGAGCCACCCCTCCCCGCATGAGAACTGAAAGAGCGTCCTAACTCCTTGAAGCACTGCAGACAGCTTAGAGAAGTCCCATAGGCACTGCGCCCGTTGTCCCCCACACCCCCGGCACGGCGGTGGCTGAGGGAGTCCTAGAAAATGGAGCCGGGAACGCGGCAGGAGAAGACCAGCGACTGCAGGTAGCCTTTGCCATCCGGACACTTGCAAGGGGTTCTTTCAGTTCCTGTCTTTGATCTTAGACCCAGATCTAATCAGTTCGGAGCACAAGTCAAACTAAAGTGGCCCGAATAACTGCATTTTAGAAAACAAAATTTTATCATTTTTCATATGCCAAAGCTTCTGTGTTCTCATGTTGTCGTTCGTCCTTTTTCAGTAGTTGGTTCTCAGCATGTAAGGTGGATCAGATCTGGGCAGAACCCAATATGATTTTTAGAATTACCTTATGATTCTTACTTAAGCTCACTTGAAATATGAGGAAACATAATAGTGGGAAAAGATGGAACTCCTCAATGGCTTTTGGCAATGGAATTTGTCTTCCGGTTAATTTCCATTATCGTCAGATCTCCTGTACTCGGTAAGCTTTTCCACTGGTGGTGATTTACTTCTAAATGAGCTTTTGTTGAATTTAATACTCCAGCTTGTCCCTGTCATTTTCCTGTTTTGGGGGGAAAGCTGATACTCCAAAAATAGCAATTCCTGGAATTTTAAACTAGTTTTTTAAAAAAGTTTTTAATCTATAGAATTGAGCCAAAAAAGCATAAAGGCTAGTTTTAGAGAGATATCATCCAATTGTTATTAAGGATCCTTCTGGAATGTCTTGGCAGGGTCTCAAGATTGCAGAGTCCTGTTGCATGGCTGCTTTTCCTACATGTGATTGATGATACAGGAGAGAAGAAGGTGCAGGCTTAGGAATGTGGTGTCATGTGCACAGTTCAGAGCGTCGATGCACTATTTATAGTCGGTAGCAAATATTACTTGCAAATGGAAAAAATTTTTAACTATTTTTGTACTTCAAAAGAATGATGATATTCTACTGTAATATATTCAAATTAAAGTTTGTTATTTGGTCTTACTATGGTGGTCTGTTGAGTGTAGCAAATGCAGGTCCTGGGTATGTCCTGTGCCTTCCCTCCTTTCCTGACCCCAGAGCGGAGGGAAAAAACAAAGTTTGGGGCGTCACAGTTAACTCTTTACGAGAAAGGAAGGTACATATTTTTAAGAATCCCTGTCCACCAAGGCTGTGGTTCGTGCTCAGTCATTTTAGGTTTGGCTCTGCTGAATCACAGCTCATGGCAGAAGTGTTACGGCCAGTGCACAGGACGACACTTCACACTCAGAAAGCTCTCAAGTACTTGTTTACTGAGAATTAAACGTATCGTAGCTGGTAGAGCAAAGGACCTGTGAGAACTGACCTCATAGAATTCTGGTTCCCATCTAATTATTGTTTTATTGTGTGCCGAGCATATACTCGGGGCTGGGGATGCAAGGATAAACAGTGTGGAGTCCTGACCCTTACGGAACCCAGGCTAACAGAAGTATGCAGCACCGAACACAATAGCGTGTGATTTTTGGTGTCAGTAGGAGCAAAGTATGAGAGGAAATGAGGCAATGGGAACGCTTGTATCCCTTGCACGTGGACACCTCCTGCCTCACTTGGGAGAAGCAGTGGGGATGGGTCCTGAAACCCAGCAGCCAGCACGGTGCTCAGGCTTCCCGTGTGTGCAGACGTGCAGCGTACGTCCCAGGACGTGGAAGCCGGGGGACGGCTCTCCCTTAAGGCCTGGCACGCTCAGAAAGTCGAGAGCGAGTGGGCAGTGCTCTCTCTCAGTAGTTACGCCTGCTTCCTAGTGATAAAACTGAATTCGCGGTTTATTAGTTCCTATACCTAGGACTCTCTCCATTTGACTCGGATAAATAGTCGTGTCTCTCCTTCATCCTATAAAATACTTCTGAGGTCGGTAGGTTTTTGATGGTAATGTTCAAACGGCACTCTGCCTGTTTAGAGACGCTGTCAGAGAATCCGTGCCTGTCACCTACCTTCACTCTGGACACGTGAAGAACATGGGGCAGGACAACGAAACACTAGATGAACACAAGCAGCCTCTGGGTGCGTATGGAGTGTGTGCTACACGGTCAAATTCGTGCTTTTTGTTGCATCAGACACCCTTTAAATGCAATCTAGGGGCGCCTGGGTGGCGCAGTCGGTTAAGCGTCCGACTTCAGCTCAGGTCACGATCTTGCGGTCCGTGAGTTCGAGCCCCGCGTTGGGCTCTGGGCTGATGGCTCAGAGCCTGGAGACTGTTTCCGATTCTGTGTCTCCCTCTCTCTCTGCCCCTCGCCCGTCCATGCTCTGTCTCTCTCTGTCCCAAAAATAAATAAACGTTGAAAAAAAAAATTAAAAAAAAATAAAAATAAAAAAAAATAAATGCAATCTAGATGCCACGTTCAACTAGGGACCGTGTCGGCGGTTGGGGGAAAGGGAAGGAAGGCAGCAGCCGCGGCAGGCCCACCGCTCAGGCCGCGCCTCTCAGGGCAACACACTGTACGGAGCTCGGATCTAGGGCATGAACTCGGTGACCCTACTGCATGAACTGTGCATACATTTTATGCATCCTCGTTTTCGTACATTCATTCGTGAATTCGTGTATTTATTTGGTCACTTCCTTACCCCACTGTGTCCCAGAAAAGATTGGGATAAGTTACCAAAATGCATGTGACAAAATACAAATAGAAGGCAAGTAAGAGTAAAAGAAGCCCAGAGTAAAGGTTCGAACACAAAAGTACCTACCAGAGTTACTAAAGATGGGCCAGAAGTTCACCTTCAAACTTCCTACCAACCGAAGCAAAGGGTGAAATATAATCAGATACAAAATGCACGGTTCATCTGTGTGAATGAACTCCCTAATGGGAAGAAAAAACTGGGTTCTCGGTGATTTCTGATCGTTCATGGGGTCCTGAATTAGGTTTTTTGTACTATAACTTAACACATTAACTCTCTGCTTAATGAAATTTCAAGGGAATCCTATTGCTTTCCTACACATGTACGAGTCATTCCTATTATGTACAATTAAATAATTACACTTGCCCTTCTATTTTTAATTTCCTCTATAAACATAATTATACTCTCCTTTGCCGGTTTTTGACCGAGGAGTAGTTATTAATATGGTGGAGCTGAGACATGTTATTCAAGTTTTTAAAATTACAAGTGGGAGTGCCTTGACTGGCTCAATCAGTCGAGTATGTGACTCTTCATCTCGTGGTTGTGAGTTGAAGCACCATGTTGGGCATGGAGCCTACTTAAAATTTAAAAGAATAATAATAAAATAAAATAAAATTACAAGTGTATGTTGGGATGAAATGTGGGTAACAGTGACCTAAAGAATAATTACAAGGTGCTGTAAAAGCAGTGAAATGATAGGAGGAGATTCGACAGGGAAACACTGTGGAGTAGGTTAAATAGAAAAGGCTCCATGGTGCAAGTGAATCTTAAACTGAAACTTGTATAAAAATGAAGTAGAGAATAAGTAAACAATTGTGTCAGATGAAGCATAAAAGGAGACGTGAGAAATACTTACAGACGGTTAGTCTCAACTTTGTTTCAGTTTGTCTATTTTCATATAATTTGTTCTATGAAAAACAGTACAGCCTTGGGGCGCCTGGGTGGCGCAGTCGGTTAAGCATCCGACTTCAGCTCAGGTCACGATCTCGCGGTCCGTGGGTTCGAGCCCCGCATCGGGCTCTGGGCTGATGGCTCAGAGCCTGGAGCCTGTTTCTGATTCTGTGTCTCCCTCTCTCTCTGCCCCTCCCCCGTTCATGCTCTGTCTGTCTCTGTCTCAAAAATAAATAAACGTTAAAAAA